CGTCGGAACCAAGTTACGGAAAATTAATTAACAAACGGAGACATAACAATAATGTTTTGTGTTGTTAGCATCAAATACAGCAGTTGAACCTCCATAACCTTAATGTACACCATTATTCTTAACGAAGTTTTGTATATTATTAATTAACCAAAGCCTGAAACAAACTGTTGCAACATATTTAAAAAAAAAGAAACAAAAATAAGTAAAGCTACTGCTATCTGTAAAACAATTAGCAGCTTAACAACTGGTTATCAATGTTGTGAATGTGAGAAAACAATTCTTAATATATGACTGAATAAAACAATTTAAACGTATATTCTGTGGAGTAATTATGAGAATGGTTTATACTAATGACTTTGAATACTTTGATTATTGTAAAGGTACTTGGTTAATTAGTTTAGTTAATTACTGTATAATGATGTAAAATAGAACACTTAAAATAAAAACATAAAATTCAGTTATTGGTTGTTCCATAAACATGGAGCTATCAATGTAATTTTATAATCTAGTGGCATCAGAACTGCTACCAAACCATTTCAAGCACCTTAAGACAAGCTCTATATTTACACGAAACTACCATATTTTTCACGAATAAAATTCTGCTTTACTTTACAAGAAACCTTGTACTGAATGTCCATTTTCACAAATGGATCTAACTAATCAACGATTTGATGACCAGCTTGCTGAACATAAAAAGGATACAAACATTCTGCCATCTGATTTAGCTTAACATGATTTATTGACTTGACAATGAAAATGACTTTGTAAAAGTTTGTTTGTTTTTTGAATTTTGCGCAAAGCTACAAGAGGGTTATTTGTGCTAGCTGTCCCTAATTTAGCAGTGAAAGACTAGTGGGAAGGCAGCTAGTCATCACCAATGAATAGTGGGATTGACCATAGCTTATAATGCCCCCATGGGTGAAAAAGCGAGCATATATGGTGGGATGGTGAATGGAACCCATAACCCTCAGATTGTGAGTCGAGGAGAAAAACACGTAGGTTCAATAAATCAATTTAATGCCAAAATACGATACCCTATAATATTTTCGAAAGGTGGACCTTTCTCCTTCAGGGGCTTTCCTAGTTTGCTCACCTTTCAAAGGAACTCGGGTTATAGGGTATAATATTTTTATATCCTTTAATAGTATTTTTATTCTTCCTTCACTTTATCATAACATGTTACTGTTACAGCTAAACATTCCATTTCTGAACGTTTTATACACAATTTCATCTTAAGTATATTTGTAGTCAAGCACGAAGCTACACAAATGGGCTATCTGTGCTCTGTCCACCAAGAGTATCGAAACCTGGTTTATGGCGTTGTAAGTCCACAAGCATACCGCTGTATTTTCATTTTAAGTTATAAATGCTTGTACGTTTTGCCCTTCATGTATTTTTTTAGCAATTTCCCACAGAAGAATGGGTTTTTGTTCAACCTAAACATATGAAATCACTCAATGGCACAACCAGAGCAGAAAGTGTTAATTCCTCCTGTTGAGTCACAGAGGTAAGGTACATTATAAATCTTCTTATATTAACGTCAGTTTGATAATTTCAGTGAAAACTTCTTCAACGTCCACTTTAACTGTGCCAAGTGTTGATAAAAGCTACTTAAAGGCAATACTACATGACCATTAGACAATATTATTTAATATAAAGAAATTTCCAAACTCTACAACTCATGGCTACTCTGTATGCACAAGCATTATGAAAATTTCATTTCAGGAAATAAAATGATTTAATATTGAGTACACACAATCCTGGAAAGGATCCTTAATATTATCGTAATTTCATCTTAATCTTAAGAATAATTTAAGTTATAATTTTTAGAGCTACTAACAAAATGTTAAAAAAATAGTTAAAAATAATTTCTTACCAAAGTCCAGTTAAATGTATAAGAAATTTGACGATTTGAAATATTTTTATAATTAAATCACAACTGTTTGTTTGTTTATTGAATTTTACCCAAAGTTACTCAGGGCTATCTATGCTAGCCATCACTAATTTTGAAGTGATAGACTAGAAGGAAGGCAAACTAATCAACAACACCCAGCGTCATGTCTTTGACAACTTTTTACTAACAAATAGAAGGTTTGACCAACATATTATATAGAATCCCATGGCTGAAAGGGATTGCTATTGGAACGTCCTAACCACCAGTAAATGCCAGACCCTCATAAATGATAAGCACAATTTTTTTATTTAATTAAAAGTTACTTCATTTAGTTTGTAAATTATAGGGAAAACATAACTTCTACACATTGGTTTTTCAAGTCAGCTTTAATTTTAACTAATTATATTTTAACTGCGTATTGATTTTACGCACTGGTAGAAATCAGTGACAGGTTCTCCGATATCTGTCGCACAGCAAAGTTATACTTACACGTGTTTAAACAGGAGGTTATACGTTTAAAATACATTTAAAGAAACTTACAATTTTCAATGTGTCCTCTGGACGAAGTAGATAAAACATTGACTGTAAATGTTTCTGAAGATCTCCAGCTGAAATGAAAGAAAATGCAGAATATAATATTTTACTTCCTATACTTGATACTAAAAGGTCGTTTATTCTAAACACTATCTAAAGGAACGATACGGTTTTGATTTAACGTGGGTTTACGTTTAAATATTAAATATATCATTATCTTATATCAAATAACGTAGGCTTGGCTAGTGTCTTGTTAGGTATTTTTAAACTAGAATATTAGTATTTAATTTCCTTTATCTAGCTGGTCTTCAGGCTAAAAAAGAAAACTCATATTGCTATCCAGTTTCAGATCTGTCAAGTCTTAAAATATCTCAGTCTTCACTGCACTTAAAACACTCGACTTAACTATAATTCGGGATAAAACCGCTTCGTCCAACAATTGCACGGCCGAGACCAAAGCGTGAAAACTAAGTAGCTACTGAGGAGACGACTGTTATAATACCATAAACACCATTTATTATTTCCTAGTGACAATGCAGTCACGACTATGAAGACAGTTAAAGCACCTACTGCTTTTGTTTTGTAGTTTAAGTAGTAACTTGATCAGTTAATTAACAAACAAGGTCATCGAACTTTGACGGTATTATGCTGCTATAAAAGAATGAAAATTACTTAGGCCAAAACTCAACTAAGTAGCCCGCCAATAAACTCCGAGTATGTAGTTAACAATAAATAAATAAGTTGCTATGGTTACAGAAAAGTACAGTATTTTATCAAAATTGTTATTTCACTTGACAAATTGTCTTAAAAATTTAGGTTTTTTTTATTAGAAACACGAAACGAGTTCGCAGATGATGTATGGCAGGTCAAGTCATAATGAAAGTATACAAAAATGGTAATAGCAAAATATAAAAACAAAAAAAATGTATATAAAACTCACATCAAAATGTGTCTAGCTCCTCATTAGGGTTTAGTGCCAGTTATGAAAATTTTCTTCAATTAAAAATGTTAGTTTGTTTAGATACGTATATAGAAATATACGCATGACAGAAATAATGGAGTTTTCCGGAAAGTATGCACAGTTATGACACTTTGCTCTTGCATTTCTTTTCTTTCATTATGGGTAAAAATATAAAGCTAGGAATGATACTGATATGTACACTATATCTTTAGCTGTACCCGTTATTCATATTAAACAATAAATCGTTCTATGTAAACTGATATTCATTATACAAGTACCTTATCAGCTATCGAAAACTAGCGATGTTTTTAACATCCCATCCTTCCTTTGTTTAATCAGAGATTACTATATTCTTTCGCTAAAAGAATGCAAATATGACGTTACTCTTCAAACACAAATTCGAATGGCCCATTTCTTCACTGTTGGTGCAATTTATATTGTTGCATTTTGTGTCTGTGTTCAAAAGTATCTTTTAATAACCCTCAGTACAAAGAACCGTATGCTTTCCTTATATAAGATATCTCAATTACTACATGTGACAGTTAGTATTGTTTATTTTAACCTTCACGTTACCGACTTGTTTTTATACTGTTTATTTAACCAGCGAGGTTGGCATATTGTATCATAATGAATGTTTCGTGCTTTTGTCTGTTACAAAACTGTGTGTGAGGCACTAGCCTAAATTTGGGTTTTAAGTAAAACACAGGAAAACTCGTCAGTAGTGGGATTAAAATTGACAGTATATACTTTTTGTGTATGTGTGAGTGACTGATACGTTATTATGGACTCTGTTGTCAACATAGACATGCATAAATAAATATTAAACACACGGTAATATCAAAAAACATTTTTACGCACGTTTCGAAATTTTTTTAAATGCCATCATCAGCGTTAAAACCTCAAAAAAGTTAGTTCACGATATTCTAACTACAAAAAACAACATTAGCTATTGAGTGAGTTTTTGTATTCGATCGGAAGTTTAGAAAGAACAGATTTAAACGGTAACAATATAATGGTATGTACACAAAAACGTACGGCATACACGTTTAATAAATAACATTGTTAAGAGAAACTATTATAGGGAAAGGCTTAAATATAAGTACCTTTAAAATAATAATAAATATCAAACAGAAACACTGGGAATCCGGGATTGATTACATTAATAACAACAGGGAGGAGTTGATGTTATTATTTAGTGTTGGGTGATCACTGAAAATGGAAGGGCTTTCTTTAATAGAGTTCGTAATCTGTGGTTCCGGAGTCGAGAATTTTAAAGTTTTCTAAAAGTATGTAGTGGATGTTATTCTCACTGTGGAATCGGATACAACACTCGGGTGGATTATATCCGCTTCTTGCTGAAATTCTCATGTGCACTTATTTGTAAGTGACGTGTAGTTTTACCAATACAGGTAGTTTTACAGCTGCCACAAATGTGTTTATACACGACCCACGAGCGCATAGGTGTGGGCAGTGTGTTTTTGATTTTAAACATATTTTAAATTCTAAATGTTGATATAAATACTAAACGTAGCTTAATTTGTGGGTAACATGTTTTAATTGTTTTTTGAATTTGAGATCTGAGTTTAAATCTTTGCTTGCCAATTAAAAGAATGATAAGTTTGTTTGTTTTGAATTTCGCGCAAAGCTACACGAGGGCTATCTGCGCTAGCCGTCCCTAATTTAGCAGTGTAAGACTAGAGGGAAAGCAGCTAGTCATTACCACCCACCGCCAACTCTTGGGCTACTCGTTTACCAACAAATAGTGGGATTGACCATCACATTATAACGCCCCTACGGCTGAAAGGGCGAGCATGTTTGGTGTGACAGGGATCCAAATAATAGTAAAACAACGTAAATGGGTGGCGCCTCCTGTGCAGATATTATAACATTTATTCGTATTGTTGCGTATTTAGTCGCTTGTTAATTTCCCGTAGAAATTCTTTCAGAGAAACTTCAGCGATACAAGTCCTTTCTTAAATAAAACTAGTTTATTCTTTCTCGATACAACTTTGCAATACAATGATTTTCCACAGTCACTTCAAAGTTAAGTACTTTTATAAACACATGCTATAATTCACAACGATTCACGCACTTTTCTTACGGTGCCTACTGCTCGCTTGACTCAATTATCTATCTCTATATCTGTCTATCTACAGTTATATCTCCGCTTTATTTGCCGGGCTTATATACTAAAAAAAGAGGGCGCCTAGAACAGACTAGAGTTGCTAGGAAAAGTCATGATCCTTCTAGAACCTCATCACGTGTTACCAGAATCACGTGACTTCCTCTGTCGTAACAGTATCCTTTTTTGTTTATGATTTTCGCGCACGGCTATGCAAGGATTATCTGCATTCGTTTGAACTAATACACAAAAGGGAAAGGTGTCAGTCAATGGCACGCACAACCAACTCTTACAGGCTACTCTCGTATTCATCCAACTATTAAGATTTGACCGCCAGTTATATAGTGCACAAACGACTCCAAAGTACGGACTGCGGAGTATATCTTTTCTGCAATAAATCGCAAGCCATGAATCCCCGCATTCACAGTCCGTGCACACTAGTCACTACTCCATGGCTTGCATAATATCATAAAGTCTAAGACTTGTTCTATAGCTACAAAATCTGATATAAAATATTACGCATATTACACTTCTTTTACAACGAGTCATAATTAAATACATGGAAAAAAACCCTGAGGATGATATATGCTCATTTATTTTCTTAGGTGTATTGTTTGTTTGTTTTTGAATTTCGCGCAAAGCTACACGAGGGCTATCTGCGCTAGCTATTTCTAATTTAACAGTGTAAGACTAAAGGGAAGGCAGCTAATCATCACCACCCACCGCCAACTCTTTTATCAACGAATAGTGGGATTGAACATCAGATTATGCTGTCCCCACAGCTGAAAAGTCGAGAATGTTTAGTGGGACGGGGATTCGAACCCGCGACTCTCAGAACGCACTAATCACCTGACCATGCCGGGACTGACAGAAAGAACGCGCATACGTATTTTATGAGTTAGTAAATATAAAGTGTAGGAAACAATAACAAGCAGCATCTATAGGTTTTACAACAAGGTGTCTTACCTCCATTTGAAAAAGACCGCCGGTGAAGATGTAAACACTCGTCATGAGGAAGAATCACTGCTGCTCCTTTCACAACAAAGTAACATTCACTATTAAAAAACAAAACAAAAAACATTTAGTTACACCGTTTGTCTTCCAACCCGGTAAAACTCAAGTAAGTCATCCAGAAACGATTATTTGTTATTTACACATATCTACACGATTTGTTTATTTAATTCAGAAAGACACTGCATACATACAAGAACCAACAACATCAACCTACACTATGAAATGACGACCGTGATATTAAAGAAGACACAGAAGCTAGAGTGAAGTGATTCTTTCTTTCTTTATAAAAACTTAAGTTTGTACACTTAATCAGAGATTAGTGTTGAAGCTTATCGAAATATTTACACCGTAAAGGTCATATCAATTACGTCATACCCTTGTTCAACCAATCATTTACATGAATGAAACCATGTATATATATATATATATATACACACACATGGAATCCTTAAATACTCATTTCTTATTTTTTATATTACTCATTGTTAATATTATGTTAGAGATTGAAAGAACATTTTTTGTCAAAACTCTTCAGTTTTCAGCATATTTCCCGTTCTGTGCTTTACATTTCACTAGTACATCTTTAAGAAGCATAACTCTCACACAGAAAAAAAAAATGAATAAACGAAATCATTCTCTTACGTTCACACATTCAAATCATTAAAAAAACTAAATTCATATTTTTTTCCTTTTTTGTTGCCTTTTCTCCGTCGTCATGCATGATTTTTAAAGTTTCCTTTACTATTTACTTGTGACTGTACGAGGAGATTCAGGTCATCCAAATAAAAACAAAAACAAATGGATTTAACAAATAATCGTGAATTTTTTATGAAAAATTCAATTTACTTTTTTTATACAGCAGATATTTTTACTGAGTAGAATTACTAAACATGATTAATAAAGACTAATATCAAATTATTCCTTCTGTTACACCTATTCCAATATGAGCTTTGTATCAAATAATACAAAGAGTCTATCTTCAGATAGAGCAGTGGTTCCCGAGGAAAAGGGCATCAATTCCAGTACTGACCCATGTGTCAAACAGTCCATCTTCACATAGATCAGAGTTTCCAAAACTGGAGTCTGCATGGTAAGACTGAATCTTCGCAAGGAAAAGGACACCCCCCTTTCGTAATGACCCATGTGTCAAACAGCTTATCTTCAACAGATCAGTAGTTCCCAAACTAAGGTCTGCATGGCAAGACTAAATATTTGCAAGGAAAGGGTCATCCCTTAAAGAACTGACCCATGTGTCAAACAGCTTATCTTTAACAGATCAGTAGTTCCCAAACTAAGGTCTGCATGGCAAGACTAAATATTTGCAAGGAAAGGGTCATCCCTTAAAGAACTGACCCATGTGTCAACCAGCTTATCTTTAACAGATCAGTAGTTCTCAAACTAAGGTCTGCATGGCAATACTAAATATTTGCAAGGAAAGGGTCATCCTTAAAGCTGACCCATGTGTGAAACAGCTTATCTTCAACAGATCAGTAGTTCCCAAACTAAGGTCTGCATGGCAAGACTAAATATTTGCAAGGAAAGGGTCATCCCTTAAAGAACTGACCCATGTGGTAAACAGTCCATCACAAGACAGCTCAGTGGTTCCCAAACTGGGGTCCACGAGACAGTCTCAGAGAAAGCTTCACCACATGTGAAAATATTTTTTTAAAAAAGTTTCCTGACACTAGTTAAAGCTATATTTTCAGTAAGGATTGGATTTATTACAATAAATATGAATACATAATGTTGTTTTGTTTTTTTTTCAGTGAAAGCAAGCTACCTCAGAGTGGCAATTACTTAAAATTTCTACTAAATCATTAGATTGGAATCCTTAGCCAAAGTGTCTGAAGTCTTGAAAGAACTCGCAATAAAAAGTTAGGAACCCCTAAGATAGATGGTCTAGGCTCGGCATGGCCATGTGGTTAGGGCGCTCGACTCGTAATATGAGGGTCACAGGTTCGAATCCCCGTCACACCGAACATGCCAACCTCCGCCTTTGCCTGGTCCCAAGTCCAGGATGAGAAAGGAGGAAGGTTGGGC